AAAAGAACAGGGGGACGACGCGATAAGCGTTCATAACACACTCCATCGTCTTATTACCACCGTGGAAAGAAGTCAAGAATGAGAGATGAAAAAAAATTGGGTTGAGAGAGAAAAAAAGAAAGATTATGAAGAAGAAGAAATGAGAAGAGTGGGGGAGTATTCGAGTTGGGAAAAGAAAAAAGAACGAAAACAAGTTTTTTTTTTCTTTCTCTTTCTCATACACACACACACACACACACGTAAACTTTCTTTCTTTATTTCGTGCGTAATAAAAAATCATTAATTAATCTTATTATGTGTGTTCATTTTTTTGCAATATCGATATTCTTAATGCATTTCTTTTCTCGATCGAAAGTAACAATATTGTTGTGTCTGTGTGTGATATTGTAATTAAATAAAATAAATATATTTATTAATGTTCATTATATTATGTATACACGCGAATTATATTACTTATACTTCTGTTAAAATATTTATGTTTTTTTTTGTAGAAACTGAAGATATTTAAAAAAATTGAAAAGTATGATTTCAACAAAAAAAGTGCCCACACTTTTTCGCACATCGTACGATCCTATTTACGAATTTTTATTTTTTGTGAAAATTTTCGAAATTATGTAACAGGAGAATACGACGTAACAGGAGAAAAATGTTAAAAATTCGTCAATGATTATGAGCGTAACTGAAGTGAAAGAGAGATGTGATCCAACGAATGGAGGGAGGGTGTGAATGAAGTAAACAATATAGAAAAATAATAAAAAATGACAAGTTTCAGGTCAATAGGTTTTTACCAGAACCCCTCCTCAGTTCCCAGTTTCCCCTCAGAATCGTCATACTAAAGCAAGTGGAAACGAATTTTGTGCTCTTGTTTCTTGTCAAGTCAAATATTTGCCAAGGGTTACACTTCGACGTCTTAGTTACTCTTTTATGTCGCATTTTACGTCTTCCCTTAGAAACGGAGTGAGACAGAAAGAGAAGGAGAGAGAGAAAAAAAACGTCGACTTCTGTTGAAAAAAAAAAAAAAAAAAAAAAAAAAAAGATAGACTCGTCAAATCGTAAAAATCTCTTCCAATCTTCTTAGTCAATCTTCGCAAAACCTTTTCGTTTTTTCAAAGGTTAATGTAGTCTTACAGTGTGTTGCTGTAAAATAACATTTACTCTCATTGGCTAATAAATTGGGAAAATATATTTTTCAAATAAATTAAATATATATATGAATATTTTTTTATTTTTTGCATTAATGGAAATATTATTTTGTTAAAAAATAATATTCCAACGAATAATAATTGACGAATTGATTGGTCGAATTTAATTATTATTAATTATATCTTATTTTTTTCTTATAGCTAAATGATAAAGTTAATTATTATGTCTCGTTGACGATATGACAATATATTATTTATAAATGAAATTAATTATTCTAAAATGTATTAACCCTTTTTGTTACTAGTGATCCATATATGGATTATTCATACAAACGTTGCATACGAGTATCCCCTATCTATACTAATCGTACATGCAAAGATCCCCTATGTACGACCCTATAATTAATTTAATTGAACTAATTCTAACAAAAATGATAATATCTTCAAATTTGTTAATCAAAAATTTGTGGTTGGGGGGTGGGGGGAGAAATAAAAAACGTAGACTAATGGAAGCAGAATAAAATTGTCGATATTTTTTTTTAACGAGTAATACAAAAGAATGTTTACGTTAACTTGGATGTAACATTTACGAATACGATACTGAAATTCAACTCGAAAAATTAATGGATCGGACGTGACTAATGAGTCGTGAGTCGGTACTATTTATATGAATTTTTTTTTTTTTCTTCTATTTCCACATAGATGCTTTCAACCCTATTCATTTTTCTTTTACTTTTTCTTTCTTTTACCCGTACACCCTTTCCTTTCCTTTCCTTTCCTTTTCTCAATGACTCGTTTCATTTGATCGATAAATTATTGTACAATTTTTTATGATTTTGTACGATTTTGTACGATAAGACCCCGATATCTTCTTTTTATCAATTTATTTTTTTCATGCACGAAACACGCATTTATTTCCAAAATATAATACGAAATAAATTCTAATATTATCTTTCATCAATCTATTCTATTCTATACTATTCTATTCTATTTAATAATGATGAAATAATTTAATAAAATTCATTCGTTTCGATCTTGTATTTGTAAGGGTCAAAACTTTAATCAATCCCTAATAAATGATTTGTTTCTTATATATAATTTTCATGTGACAAGACTCAAAACAATAATCTCAATACATAAAACCACAAGATTACATTATATTACATTAATATTTATAAACGCTGTTAACTTTTACCAAACTTTTACCAGAGAAAAGAGAGATAGAGATAGAGAGATAATCGATTATTATAACACGTGTCCAAATCCTTATCTCTCTTTCTCGTATCTTGTAAAATACCACAACGTAAATTATTCCGTACGTAACTTGGATTGTTACTGGTATTGATGATATATATGAATACGTGTGTGTGTGTGTGTGTGTGTAATAGTGATACTGTTGGTAGTACTACTGTTCAGAGTCTGTTCAGTTCATAGGTATATCTATTTCTAAGGAAAGCAGCAGGTGGTTCACATTTCTTTTTACTCTCACAATATCTTCCAGCACTTTGACGGTACCTTTCCCTTCCTTCTCTTCTCTTCCCATCCCATCGACCTGTTACAAAATAAAAAAGAAAGAGTAAGAGATATGAGAGAAAGATTATAAACCCGTGCGTGACCCGAAATTTCGTTTCGTATTCCTTCACACCCTTCAGACAGTGGAATCTACATTGAAAGTGAATACGAAATAAGCTACTGACTAAGCATTTGATATGATTTATTAAATACAATTGATGACATTTTAAAAAATACATTTCTTTTTTTTTTTTATAAGAATGGAAAGATTTTGTTTTCGAATGTATTTAAATGAACCGAAAGGGAGGGCATTCTATGATTCATTGATTTTGTTTTATTTCGTATATCGTATCTTCTTGACGATTCTTTCTATGACGATTCATCGTCAGAGAAAAATTCAGAGTATATCGTTCGTATCTCAATATTATTTTTATTACGTAATTTTTCTCATTTATTTCAACGTAAAATGGAAAAGTATTATCACGCGGGTAATGTTGAAAAATGTTGAAACTCTCTTTAACAAAAATATAATATATTAATTATTTAAATACACAAAACATGGAATGGATAATTATGTATTTTAAATTTATACTAATATAACGCGAATATTATTACAACAATATTATTCGTAACGAATAGAAATATTTGTAAATGAAATATGAACTTTGTTTTACCTCTTCTTCAAGTATTATAATAAACTTATCATTAGTACTACTACGTGGAAATTACATAAAAACAAGCAGACAAGTAAAGTGTCTATGGTGCAATGAAAATGAATATTTAAATGGCACAACAAAGTAAAATCATATTAAGTTATTTCGAATTTAGCGAATGAATGATAAAGTCTAAGAGGGTAATACAGTGTATTCGTAATTAAACAGATAAAATCCAGTTGAAGTATGATAAATAAATCACAAAAGAAGTAGCTAAGAGAAAATTAATAAACCCGTAAAAGAAAAAGCTGTTCCGGTGAAAAAGAAAAAGAGAGAAGTTTAAAATAAGATACAAGGATAAGTGGTTGAAAACTCTCACGGTGTTTTGTGCCATGGAACACGTTCTTTAATAATGAAATGTTTACACGCCCCCGTACGACAAAATGCGTCGAAGAAGTTTTAAAAAAAAAAAAAACAGAATTGTTAATATGTTCGTTTTTGGCACTAACAAAGTTATACATAAAATAAATCCAATCGCATGTCAATTAATAAAAATTTTTTAAATAATCTATTGGTAAATATAATCAAAAATATTTGTCGCTATTAAGAAAGCTTAATATTTTTTGTTTCTTCTCTCTTAAATATTGAATTTTTATTGTATATTTTTTGAATGGCGTGCCAATTAAACGATTGCAAAATAAATTGCGAAAGATTGGATAACATTTAATTTCTAATTTAAATTTTACTTCCAAATATTTTTCCCATTTTCATATTTAATTTGAGAGTATGTATGTATGTATGTGTATTTTAATAAAATTCAAGTAAGAAAAACTTTTCAAAACTTTTCACAAATACGTAATATCGTCGAGGAGACAACTTTAATCTTAACGATTAACGGACCCAATCGCAATTATTTTCTTTTTCTTTAATAAACTCATTCGATGTTTTTTGTATCAAATTAAAAACACAATATATATATATACAATAAATAATTTATTCGAGACTAAGTCTTACTAATAAATATTACAAATAATTTTTGTCGTAAACCCCCGTGTATCTCGAGAAACAATAATACCAATTTAAAAAGAAAAATGAATGAAACCGTTGATCGATATAAAAAAAAGAAAAAAAAAAAGGAACGAGAGAGAAAGAGAAACAAATAAAACACTATGTGAAAAAATAATATATAATAAAATAATTACATTCGCGACATATTATTCTATATCATTTCACACACGTCTTTTCGATGGATTTGACAAACCATGGACAACCACTAATCACATATTCACACATGCATATACACATACACACATATACACACGCAAAAACACAAATACACCCCTTGATGAGAAGAAGAGGAAAAGAAACAGAGAAACGGATAAAAATATATAGGGGAAAAATGAGGCGTGGGTGTTAAAGAATGAAAATGCATTCATGGGTGTTAAAGAATAAGTGCATTCATGGGTGTCAGGAGAAAAACGCAAAGGGATGGATAGCAACCAGTAGCCTAGTTGGGATTCTCGCGATCGTGTTGAATTTCCTACGAAATGTAGAATTGCGAGGGCTAACATATAGAGGGGGTTGTTCTTGGATGAGGAAAAGGGTAGTAGACGTTTGATTGGACGACGGTGGTAGAATGGTGGGGATGGCGATCGTGAGAGTCGCTAAGTTGTCGGCTTATATAAACGGGACGCGGAATTCTCTACCGCAGAAGAACCGCATCCACCGTCCAGGAACAACAAGGACAAGTGTATCACGTGCCCTACTGAGTTACCCTTATATCTAAAGTATCTTTTCCGAGATCTTCTTTAAAATTAAGGTAACGTAAATACCCTTAAATCTTGTCTCCATTTTTATTTATTATTTATATTTTACAACATTCTTTTTTCTTAGCCATTTATTGTATCTATTTCGTGTTTTGTTTTGTTTTGTTTTGTTCTTAAATATATTCGTTCGTTTTTAAATTAGAAAAAAATTTATTCATTGCACTTTTAAGTTGATGTACTATTTTTTTCTATCTTATTTTTTCCTTTTCTTTATATATATATATATAGTCTTCGGATAGTAAGATAATAAAATTTTAAACGTCTCTTAGATAGATATGTATGCGCATGTATAGTTGATAGTTGTCTCGACAAAGTTACGGTCTTACTACTGAAACAATCGTAAAATAAGCAGATACTTCGTGGTACTTTACGAGCCGAATAAAGAACAGTTAAGGAACTTATTTTATATTCAACTGCTCGATACACGTTTCTTTCGTAATGGTTAAATTAGTTTTCCTTTTTTTCTTTTTTGTTTTTTAGAAAATAAAGTAATCTCTTTATATATATTTTTTTTGTTTTCATACGAATCGTCATATTGTAAGATGAATCGATTTTATCGAGATAATTCAATCATATTTTTAATCTTTTTTCCTCATTCTATTCTCTCTTTCCTTTATTTTCGTTTACGGTAAAACTTTTATGGAGATTTTATTTCTCCGCAAGAAAAAAAAAAGTAATATTTGATATACGAAATATACGAAGTAATCATCGAATGGAAAAAAACAAATTGTTGGAGGATAAACATATATATCCCCGAAAGAATTTGTTTTGTTTTTTTGTTTTGTAAATTTTTTAATTTCTAAAATTTCTACGTTTTTAATAAAAAGCACAGAGAGAGAGAGAGAAATTTGTGTTACCGTAATTTTTTGATAATAATTTTCATCTTTCGAATATACAAATAAGATCATCAGTAGTAGTTGACACAAGCTTTTGTCAGACAAGTGAAACAAACGCGTGTAAACGAACAGACTCTGAATTGTACGGTCAACGCATACGACATATATACTTATATATACATACGTATCTATGTATCTTCTAACTATCTATGTATGTATATTATACGTGGTACGATTGCTATGCTAACAATAATTAGTAACAATGCTATTACATGTCGAGTATCTTGAACTCATTGAACTCCATAATTGTTCGATCCCATTCTTGTTAAAATTGACCACTGTTATTATTTATTAATTATTATTATTATTATTGTTATTATAATCTTTAATTTAGTATTTTTTTTATTACATATTACATAATCGAGATATAACATCTATTTTTAAAAATATAATTATTTGTTAAATGAAAAGAGATTCAAATGAAAAGAAATGAGTCTTATGATCCATACTTATTGTAAATATTAATAATATCTTTCTATCCGATATTGCGCGAGAACAAACTACGTTTTTATGATTAACTCTATACAATAAAATACGATAAAATTATATAAATTAAATGCTATACTTTTGACGAATCCAGCATGCAACCGGTGTTATTAAATAGAAACGGCTCTTGGTCTCTCTCACATATAGCTTAGATATAAATAATAATAATAATTAAAAACAAAAAAAGAAAGATAAGCAAAAAAATAATGAATGACATTTTAATTTAATTTCGGTTAACTGTACAAAATTATAATATCTTAATCTAATCACATGAACGTTTCAAGAGTAGTATTTTCTTTTCGTGTGAATGCTTAAAGTGATAGCAACGAATCATCGTCTCATTTTGAAAACGAACATTCGTTCTATCGAGGAACGTCGTTTTAAACCCATCCTTTGAAGATTAATTGAATTAATTAAAAAGAAAATCTTATAGTGTCCCGTGCACCATTTTCTCTTTGTTGTTCTTCTTCAAAACGTATATAAACGTGCTATTCTAATTTAACTGGTACCATAGAAAAAAGAAAATTAAACCATAAACTGAAGAGGATATTTAACACCAATTAGATCGTTTTTGCCAAAGTAGTAAAATGAATTTAATGAGATATTTTCATTGGAATCTTTTTTATTCTTTATAAAATTCGAGTAACTGAGAGAGATGAATATTAAAAAATATCGAAACTTGCAAAAAGTATTCGTTAATATTCACTTTTTCTTTTCTATTTCTTTCTTTCTTTCTTTCTTTTTTATTCAACGAATGTAGAAAAAGTAAAACTCTATGCTAACAAAGATAGGAAAAATGTTACATTCCAAGCTATTCAAATGAAAATCCGACAATTTTTCTACGACTATTTTTATTTGATTAGATTTATTTATTATTTCTTTTTCTTATTCTATCAATGAATTCGAAGATTCTTTTAAGGATAAGAATAATTTTATATTCGAAGCTTCTTAATCCTTTCTTTTTTATGAATAAATTTAAAAGCACTGTTAATGAGGATAGAAACAATATTTATATAATTGAACTTATTATATTAAAATCAACAAGTGTAAAAAAAAAAGCTCGTATCTTATACAATTATTTAAACGTATCTATCATTACATTTATACTTTATGATACTAAGCAAATAACATAACGTTTAATTAGAGATTAGATATACTCGACTGATATGATGGGTTCTAATTTACAAGGATACGTGTATAATTATAGTTACACAGATATCTCTTTATAATATCATAAAATAATTGTTCCTGGAATATTATACATTTTTGTCTTTCAAACATTTATCGATTTTTAATATTATATAAATTTGTTATCATTTTAAACTAACCATGCGCGGGTAGTGTTGATATTCTGAATCATTGGAAATATCGTAAAAATAAACGACCCTTATAGTATGTGGATTAAATGTATAGAATAGCTTTTCACAGTTTTGACCCATAAAATAGAATAATCACGGATTCGACGAGTTTCAATTTTTCAAACATGTGCTATTATTTACCTGACGATTAAAACAACGTGTTCGAAAAAAGAAAATAACTGAATAACGATTACGAATAGTGATTGAAAATAAACCTTAAATCAAAGTGAAATCAACCCTGTCATTGGTTTAAAAAAAAGAAAAAACAATTTACGAGCTGCCTATTTCATTTCGTTCGAAAGACGTTTTATCGAATCATTTTGTCTTTAATTTGAATAAATATTTTTTCGATTCGTTAACAATAATGAACAATATTTCAAGAATTATCAATAGAGATAATAAAATTATTTTTTATCAAAATGATTTCAATTATATTCGCGTAAAAAGTATATAAACGATATTCCAAGACAAAGAAAATAAGAAATAGGAAGAAGAAGAAAAAAAAAAGATAAAGAAGTGAAATATTTTAAAGTTACCGACTGAAAATATCATTTTACTTCGAAGGACGTATTGGTCTCTGCTACTCGTTTTGGGAATTTGAAAGAAAAGAAAAATAAAAAGAAGTAACTCCTATCAGAGAGATAGAGAGAGAGAGAGAGACAGAGAGAGAGGGTAAAAGAAAAAGAAAAATGAGAGTAAGGGGGGAGGGGAAGGGGAATAACATAATAACGGAATCGGAGACAACTCAATCGAATGACATTAAAACTTGTCGCGCGATGTTTTAGAATTTTATATTTTTCATTTCTTTTTTACTTTTTTCATTTTTACTTTTTTCTTTTTTCTACGAGATATGTTTTATACATTAAGGTAAACTCGATAACGTAAATATAAATTTTCTTTCTCTCGCCATCTCTTTCATTTTTCTTTCTCGTTTCTAACTTTAATGTCAATTTTGGATAATAGTTCGAAATTTGAGCGTGTTACTTTATACGTAGAAAAAAGAAAGAAAGAAAAAAAGGGATGGGGGTGATGGTAAAAGGGGAAGCAATAAGTGTTTATGGGAAATATTGCGAAGAAAAGTTTCGTCGTGATTGTACGCGTGGAGAAAATTTTCTTCACGTATTGGTCGTTAGAATTTCGATTACGTTTTACGATTTTATTGGTTTAGAAAATTGTTAGTTTATTACGATTGTAGGATACTTGTACGAGATAAATAAAAAAAAAACACGCATTCGATAAGATTGATGATAATTATGATCCGTCGTCGTCGTTCGTACGATGAATAATAATTATTTTGAAAGGATATAAATATATTCGTAGGAACGTATAATATTATTAAACTACGACGTATTTTTTCTATCTAACGTTTAGAACAAATTTTGACAATTATTATTAATAATTGTATAAGAAACATATTTTTCATTGATTTTATATATATTTGATTTAATTATGTATGTCTTTTTTTAAACGATCATTAAAACGCGTTAGAAATATCGCGAATAGGTAAAATAGCTTCTAGTTCTTTGATGTAAAATAGGCCATTGCTAGGCATCGATTTATTGGTATAGAAATCAATCCTGACTATAAATGAAAAGATATATGGTAACAACTTTTTCATTCACTATTTCCCCTTTTACTACGTTGTTACGCGTCCTTTTTATAAAATACTTTCTTCTTTCTTTATCTATCTATTTCTTTCTTTAACTCTCTCTCTGTCTCTCTCTTTCTCGCAAAGTGTTTTTTCCTTTTTTTTTTCTTTTTCTGTTTATTGTACTTATAACTCTGTGAAACCTTAGGAACTCTTCGTATAAAGTATACGAAAAATAAAATATAAAAAAACATTGAAAGCTCGCGCTTGCAATTGCATTTTATTTCACGTTCTTATAAACACACCCACGCATATATACATATACATAATATATTAGACGAAATGTAATATAATAGTTTTCGGTTTGCGTCTTACAAATTTCAAAGTAATAGCATTACCTTTTATTTTGTGTCGTTTTTTTTTTTTTTAGTACTTTTGTCGAAACGATATAATGTTACGTTTTAAAAAGTAAAGAAGAAAATGTCGGTTCTTCTAATTCTCTCTCTCTCTCTCTCTCTCTCTCTCTCGTTCATCGAAGAAAACAAAATGAAACGTAAATTCGATTAAACTCGTGGGAAATATTTTAAGAAGAAGCTCGATTTTTTCCCTCATTACCATATTTCTTTTACGTTGTTAAAATAAGGAAAAAAAAAGAAAAAAAAAAG